ACATATATCATGCTTTTTATTTATTTTTAGTATTTTTGGAAACAAGGTTATGTAGCTCTATATCCTGCAAACCCCTATAGTTTAGTATATGGTTTCTAGGTATCTAATATTTACTTCGGTCAAACCAATATTGAATACCTACTACATAGTTTCGTTTTTACTTGGTATAATTAAATTGTTATAACCCGAATCCATTGAAGATCACGTGTTCTTCTGATTAAATTGTGTGTTATTTAATTTATTCTTGCGTAATAAAGGAATAAATTCGTTGCAGCTCTATTTAATATTCGAGACGATCATCTCAGCATCCAGTGAAAATAAAAATAAATAAATAATTTAATGTTTCTGTTACATTAGGTATGTTCATAATAAATGGGAAAAAGACATTGTTTTATTTTATTTTCGTGTTGCTCAGTTTGCGAGTGACCCACTAAATTGAAAATTAATATTCAGACACCGATGGAAGAGATACCGAACCCCGTAAACTCAACACGGTTTTCTCGAAATACGTTAATTCTGTAGGTGGTACATACATTATAACATATATTGATGTATCGATCTATACTAATATAATGATTTCGTTCAAGTCTCAGTTCAGTGCAATAATTTTTAATTGTCCTGATTACTATATTTGCATAGAAATACAATTATGTATATATAACGTCTTACAAGCCATTTAGACCCATTGTCGCAATAACCACTTGTCTCCACTGATTTCTTTCCTTAGCCAGTTCATCTCCATTCTCAATTCCAAGCTCTTTTAAGTCCTTGTTCTCTCTATCCTTCCATCTTTGTCTGGGATGTTATTTTGGTCTTTTTGTATTTGTTTTCCGTTCTGTAACTTGTCCAATCATACTTTCTGATCTCCAAACGTGCTCAGCCCATCTCAATCTACTATTTTTTAACACACCATTGATGGTCGCTTCTCCATACAGATCTTTAATTTCCTGGTTTTACCTAATCTCAAATCCTCCCTCGCTATTTCTTTTGGGTCCATAGATTCTTTTTAATATCTTCAATCCAAAATCGCTAATTTGAGTTCGTCTGATGTTGTAATCACACATCACATGCATTCAAGACTACTAAGGTCTCCCTAGAACTTTGTAAAGTGTTATTTTTGATTTCCATGATAAAACCATGATTTAAACAGAGGTATCAATCTCAAATAACATCTGTTTTCCACTATCAATCGTATATTTATTTCTTTATGGCTATTTGTGTCCTTATTAATGTCCATCCTTAAATATTTGAAATTATCCACTCTATTAATTTGTAGTAATCAATATCCAAATGTCCTACTCTGCTGTTATATCTAGTTATGACCACGTATTAAAAGTACAATTATTTCATAATAAATTTTATGTAATGGGACGTATTAATAACAAAAAATAAAAATAAAAAAATAAATAAATAAATAATGTTTAGATATACCTATATTGTTATAATGGATTATAGTAGGATCTGAACAAGGTTTTAACTTTGATGTTCTATACAGTCAGGGTGGTTTTATTTATAGCAGTGCGCTTTAATTATTTTCATTATTTTTGTTGTTTATTGTTATTTGATTTTAAAACATTATTAATTTTACTTCTGAAATGGATAATAAATGGATATAAAATATCACAACTTTTAAAAGACATTGTTAGTAATACAGATAATTTTGCATGTGCGCATTTATAACTGCTCGATGAAACTTTTATTTATATTCAACAATTATTATGTATGTTACTAACTGCTAAACTGCTAAATCGTTTAATTATAATTATAAGTTATTAAGATATCCAACGACGAATATTAGATTAGTATTTTCTTTTTCACCGACGTTATGCGCACATTGCGTATTATAAGTTCTATTTTCACACTCTGAAGGAGAATTTCGACGAGCAGTTGTTTACGAGAGCAACGAAAAAAAATAAATATTTTCAACTAAAAAGCATAAAATGAAAATTAACAATTGTAATTTTAGGACCAACGTAATTGTTACGAAAATAAAAAAAAATAATAATTATGACAGTAAAACTTCATCGTAAACACGACATCGTGGTTTGATCGTCGTTTGAACACTCCGTGTGCTCGACTGTAAACGTACGACCGGTAAAAATGTGATCGACGATCCCTGTTGGAATTTTGCAGGTCGTCGACGGACGCGGTTACCCGAGGTCAGATAAGGGTGTGCTCGGGTGAGTAGAGTCGATTCACGTGTAACGTCCGTATCGTTTTCGCGAGCGCGTGCGTACGTGCGTGCCACATTGGAAGTGTTGCGGGGTAACTAATCCGTAGTACGGTTACGATTGCATACGCGCGCGCGAGTATTCTGAACACGTAGTCGTGCCCGCGGGGACGACTCACGCGGCGGTAAAACGTTGTTACGGAGGGCAACGCGTCAGATAACGCGAACACCGTGTAGAACGGCGGTACTATTGTTTTTGTTGTTGCTGTCGTCGCGCCGTCGTTCAACCCTTGGGAAGTCCGCCTATCTCTTGTCGGCGGATTATTATGTGTCGTGATTATTGTTTTACCGAAGAAAACAAAAACAACACCGCGGAACATCAAACTGCTATCCATCTATCGTTAGTCGCCGTCGATTGTTATTGTTCCGATGGTAAACAAAAAAAAAAAAAGAGAGAATGTCGTTTTCGGGTATACGCCCTACGCCCTATTGTAACGAATTCGAATCACCTTATCAAATCCTTATTGCATCAACAGATCAACCGTGGTACGTTGCGAATAGAATAAAACCTTATGATGCGTTATGTCGGAACATTTACATAGTATCGACTAACGAACTTTTGAATTTCGAATAAAATATATTTTTACTACTATTTGAATTGTTTACAAAACTGTTTAGAGAAAAATGCATTGATAAAGATACACAAAGTGATACGTACGTTACGACGTGGTACAGACACCTAGGTATGTGTGAGTAGTATTACACCTATAATAAGCCCATAACAAGTCTCGCACAAAAAAAAACTAATTAAAACTAAAAACAAAATCGTGTGCCGAATCAGAAACTAGAAGAGATAGTAAAAATAATATTAGTATTGAAAAAAATTCATAATTTCCATTATCATTTTATTGTTAAGCCCAAGATTTATATTTCGAATGTTTACAATATCATATACTCGAATTAAAAATCTCTTATACTCGGTGCCGTAGTTCTGAATAATGAGAATAAAAACTATAAAAATACGTTATACTATATATGTGTACAATACTGTAGTAGTTCTAGGATCGTTATAGAGGTGTCTCCAAAACCTGTTATTTTATAAACATTGAATATTGATAAAATAAGTGGCTACGTTTTCGATAGCCCCGTACTCAGATACATAATATAATAAAAAAGGATAATTGGCTGAATGTCTAACAACCTTATGTTCGTACCTTTCACCGAGTCCTCGAACTTTATAACAAATATTATATTCCGCATACACCATAATATTATAATATTATAACACTAATAATAACGACCATAATCTCCTCATGATGAAATGAAATGTTGTGTATAAGAAACTAACAAGAATAACCCCAAAAACAAGTAAATATGATTTAAGAATACTAAAAGATAATATCATAAATATAGCATACTCATCCTACATCGATGAAAAACTAATATTAAACCCACCATTTCCAAGTGATACCAATGAAGATAATGGAATAAAATAAAGAATATAATACTTGAAGCAGATAGCAACAATTTAAAAAGAAACTTACCATAGCCTAAGAAACCATGGATAAATGATAACATTATAAAAGGTATTGAAGAGAGAAGAAAGTAAAAAAAAACGATAAGGATAATCATAGAATACATGGAGATTCATGGAGATATAAAGAGCTAAAGAATAAAATTAATAGAGATTCGACATTTGCAAGAGAGAAATACTTAAAAGAAAAGTGCCAAAAATTGGAACAATTGCTTAAAAAAGAATGGATCAAGCGTTTAACACAATTAAGAAATTTTTCGGAGGAAAAACGAAACTAAACAGTAAAATAAAGAGGTTTGGATGGAAACTTGATACTGGACAACGACAAAATAGTAACAAGATGAAAACAATATCTTAAATTTTAATTTCCAAGGCTGGACCAACAAGTTACATCAAACTAAAAAAGCTAGCTGAGAACAGAGAAGATTGGAGAGCGAATATGCGATTGCAAAACCAACCTGAAGGGTTGAACACCGAAAAGAAGAAGAATACTAATAATAATAAAATAATAATGTTCATTTATTACTTTCGTTTATTAAGTAGATTTTATTTTAGGTTTTTTTTTTTATTATATATTCGTTATCGTGGATTATAGATGGAAATATAAACTATATTAAACTATAATATTTTAAACGGTAAAAGTAAAGCTTTCGAATTTGAACGTAAATTATGATTTATGTGATCATGTGTTTTTTGTTCACGTATACTTAAATTTAAAATCCGTGAATTCAATTAATTAAATAATTTTAGTAAATCACGGATATTTACTTCACATGTACTTAAAATTAAAACCAAAAACTAATAACTAAAAATATTTCTACCTTCTATGTAGAATGTTTCATAAATGTTTCATAAACAGTATTATCGTGAAATGACGGAACGGGTGGATTAATGTATATACTACGTAAACGACAGTGATGTGGAAATTTCTATAAACACTAGGAAGTTCATTCTACGAACCGATAATAATAAAATTATAAATGCGTAATTTAATAACAAATTCATGGATTCACGTGTAATTAATTCACAAATTTACACATTATCACATAGGTTTTTCATATAATGAATCAAATATAACCCAAATGTAATTTTATAATACTTTAAGAAACAATAAATATTCTATTAGATAAACTATAAGTACTACCTAAATAAATTAATGGCAATTGTGTACACACTCGAGAACAATAATACATTTTAATTAAAATCGAATATGAAACATATTATAAATTCAATACTTTTTAAATAAGTGATCGAGTACGTAAAATATCATATGAATATTCTTATATGTAATTTCAGGGACTTACGTTGAGTTTGAACTCATCGGCAAGAACAATGAAAAGCGATAACAACTTGGTTTTGCAGAAAGTGACACGAAGTGTGGCAGGCAGATATGCTTGTCGAGCAACGAACTCCGAAGGGGAATCATTTAGCAATGAACTCAGTCTGCGCATCAAATGTAAGTATTAAAATAATATGTCTAAAATAATTTAAGATAGAATTCATATATACAACAATATCGACCAATCAGTATAATAATCAGTATAATATTATATAATTGAGTATAAATATTTTGTAATACTTCATTAATTTTAATAATTGAAAATTGCCTGCCTTCCGTAGACCGAAGGTCAAAACACAGGTATGACTAACTTTATACTTCAAATGCATTCGATTGACTAACACGGAAATATTAAAAAAGTATTCATAAATTCTTCTGAAAAAATTTCAGATTATTTTTATACTATAAATACGAAGAAACGTATTCGTTTCGAACAAGCTTTTACTGCGTGTGCCGAAAATCAACCCCAAATATACATAATACGTGCGACGCCGCCGGAACTTGCTTGCGCCAGTGAATCTTTATCACGTGGAAACACTACCGGCTAAAAACAAATTATTTTTTAACTCATTCCACTTGAATTATTGTTTCCCCGATAAAATAAATGTAAGCACGCATACACGTAAATTTGAACGCGTGTCCGTTGCCGCCGCCGTGGTAAAACAAACGCGCAAATAGTGTGCACATAATATACGTGTGTATACGGTCGTAGAAGTTGGACGTGAGGGGTTTCACGACTTAACCCTTTCCCCCGATAAAGCAGTTCCGCTAGTTCCGGTCAGACGAACGTTGGGGGCCATCGTGTTTCCTTTATTGTTTCGATAAATAAAAATATTAAAAAAAAAAATAATAATAATAATAAATAAATAAATAAACAACAAATATAAAAAAAGAAAAATACCCCATTTCCTTGACAGGTCGTGGTTGTATGTGCGTGCGTGTGTGTATGTGTGTGTGTTTGTATATTCTACTCCACAGCACGCGCCGGATGTACCTACAACCCGTCCGTTTGGTTTTAAAAACCAAAAATGGAGGAGCGCCTGTGCAGTATAATATATCTGTTGTTATGCATATATATTTCACTTTCAGTTGAGTAATAAATAGATTATTGATCGTGCGGGCGCGCAGGGTCGAATTTATATTTTTAATAGTTGTACAGTAGGTATATGAGCAGTGGTGCTAGCAGCTATCACCGAAAGCTCTCGATTTTTTCTCCTTACACACCCATCCGCACGCTTGTACATACCTTGACACATAAATACTTGTACGTCGCGTAAATATACGCCACCACCACTGTTTGGAGTACACCAACACAGGTATACTCCATATTTCACTGGCTTGAGTTTAAAAAAATTAATGTACATGTACATTAGGCGAGTAAGAGGTTTTTATTACTACGATTTTTTTTATTTCCGTAGGTATTTTTTTTTTTTGCTATTCGCACAAAACCGTGTTATTCTCATCAATAGTCAAACAGTGTTTAAAAGCGACGGAGGTGGTGGAAAAGTTATAAATATTTATATATTTGTATCTATATATGTATAACACCGCGTTAAATTTATTCAAATCGAACGTTACAACGTTTTTCAGACGAAAGTTTAACGTCAAATTTGTATAAGGAATTGGAAAATGAGCGGCGATATTCCGTCGTCGTAGTCGTCGCGCTTCGATTATATGCTAATGCGTGCGTAGGACGTACGTGCGGCTTTGGGTTGGTTTTGAAGATATGTGTGCGTGCGTGTATGTGTGTGTGTGTATTAAACGCTTCGTAGTGAAGACTTCGAGAGCAATAAAATATGTTTGTATATATATACCGTGCGAATATTGTAGTTACGTGGCTTATACAACTTTCCGAACTAAATCTGCCGATTATTGTTTCACGGCGAACAAACATATCGAACTGCGGTGCACGAAAGCTCTAAGATTTACTGCTACCGTATAATAGCGTATGGGTTTATAATATAGTAGTGAGCGTCGCTGTACCGGTTTGTCTCGGGTGATTCTCAAAAGTTATGGCAGTCTTGTCTTGGCATTATATTACATACCTACTCAAATGTATTGCGAACGAGCATTTGTGAGACGAAATATGACGATGACAATATTAAAGCATGGTTTTAATATGTTACATTATTTACTTATAATGCAAATAACTTCTTTTTACTGTACAATTGATTGCACGATGTAGATTTTCCTCGTATGCGATTTTTAACCACATTGTTACGGTTGCAGTGGTGATCGACGGAGTTCAAAAATATTTTAAATACGTCGAGAATTGAGAAAGAATTAAGTGTACGATTACTATTGCGATCGAAAAAAAGAAAATTCGATAACGTTATCGGTTAGGTTGGGTAACACGGCATTTTTATAAGAAGTATTCTTGTTTTACCACACCCCTTCCTCGATCGTTTAACAAATCGACCTCTCAGTGCGTACGTGTTCTGTCGGTATGACCTGCATTCCTTCCTCCTCCCCCTTCGGCAATAAAGCCCCTTGGCCATCGTATATACGGATAAAACATAAAATCACCGTCACCGTACGGGCCGCGTCGTTTCATTTCGTTTCGAAGCGACAAATTTCACCCGTGGGAAATCGAAAGTGAGTGTATACCTACACGCGTTTAAACGCGAATTCGAAATCAACGAGTTTTAAAGAAACACAATATTCGTCGCCGTAAAACCGCATTAATACGTATGTACGTGCTCGAATTTTCTGACAATCCACTCCTTCGGATCGTCGTCGTCGTCGTCGTCTGCGTCACGTGTGAGCACGCGCGTGCGTGTATAAGTGTGCGTTCGTCCGAGTGTATTTATACTTATGTGTTCATGTGTACTGGTGACCGTTTACAAGGATGTGTGTACGTATTCGCGCGTGCGTTAGTGCGTGTGTGCGTCAAATAACGATCGTGTCGACCATAGGATTTGACCGGACCTACCGGTGCCCATTCATCAATTAAGTACGGACGTTTCTGCGGACAGTGGTGCTACGTGCACCTGAGGGATTTACCTCTGTGGCTGTAGTGTTTACTATTTATGTACATATATATGTGTGTGTGTGTGTGTGGTATGCATTGCCTGTTGTTTTTGTGTTTGTGTGTGTATGTGTCTTTTTTGCCAACCAATAACGTAGCCGTTATTTGTTATTCATGAATTTCGTACGGAGAAAATCTTTGGTACACGTGTACACACACACACACACACACACACACACACACACACACACACACACA